ATATAAAAATATATATATATATATAAATATATATATATAGGAGTGCCAAGTTAAAATTTAGGGGTGCTTGGGCACCCCTAATTACAGGCTAAAATCGCCACTGGTTCAGACAGGGGGCGCTCTAGCCTAAACTATGGGTGTAGCTTATATGCCTCTGATTGGGTTTTTAATGCAGGTGTGTGGTCCTTTGTGACAATCAGTGCATGGAGGGGAGCAGACACACCAGTGAGTAGCAGTCTCAATAAAACAAACTTTTTAGAGCCTATAACATCCTTATGTGGTAAACAGTGCAGCAGTTTGAGGTGTTTTTACTGCAATCAGAGTTATTTTTAGCACATAGACCTTCTGTGTTTGTTTAGTTTCTGTACGTTTTATCTGTTGGGATTTGAGTTGAGTTGACCTAATGCTGTTTTGAGACTCTTTAATTTAGATTATACATTTAGTCTTTATTATGAATTAGATTAAAGCAAATAACTTTGTAATCTTTGAATGAATCCATACAAGTTAAATACAGTATTTTATTTATCTGATCCTTAAATTATATATGTATCATTTATAGTGATTAGTTCTGAGGAAAAAGCATCTTTTGGTGGCTAAAAATCATTGCTTATTATTTGATGTAATTAAGTAAGATACAATTAAAATACAAAAATAATATATATTGGAAAATTTAGAATAAATATCCAAAGTATTTGAAATAAATAAATAGTATAAATTGTCAAATGCTTTTAAATGGTTAAATCATAGTTTATCATGTTAAAATATTTATACTTTTTTCCATCTTCTTTCGGCTGCTCCTCGTTCAGCGGTCGCCACAGTGAACTGTCGCCACAGTGAACTGTCGCACGAAGACTTGGCAATTATTTTTACACGGATGTCCTTCCTGATGCAACCACAGAGCTACCACAGCCTTCTGTGTGGAGCAGAGTTATCTAGGGCACCCGGTGGAGCAGATGGTGGGGGGTTAAGGGCCTTGCTCAAAGGCCCAGAGTGGGACGAATGAGGGTGGAGAGACAGGTGTGGGTGTTTCACCTGTCCCTTCCACATTTTGATATTTGTACTGGGAGTTGAGCCAGCAATCTTACTGTGCCACCACACCCTGTTAGAATATTTATATAAAATTAATTAATATCGGTTATTAATATATATATATATATATATATATATATATATATGTTCAAGCAATTAAAAAAACATTTAAAACTAAAGTATTAATCTGCATTTTATTTCCAAGGTTTTCAACCTACTGATGCTGCTGCAGATTCCATCTTTGAAAAATATTTAATAAAGATGATGAAGTGAGCTGAGCCTATATGTCTACTTACTTCCTGGATCTTTTAAGTCAGATCAATAATGCTTTATGAAAAGACTTGACACCCAGGTTAAGCATTTTATGTATTTCCTTTGCTAACTGGTCTTATTTTGCTGTTTTGGCTGTCAATCCAGCCTACCAGTGAAGTTCATAAAACTAATTTAAAGTTTAATAAATTCCATTAAAAATATATATTTTTTTAAAATCTGAAATGACTTTTTTTCTATCCGAGTGGTGATCCTGTTATTTATGAATGACGCGGGTTACACCAGTAGCTCAACAACAGAATAATGCATAATAAAATTTAAATGTTACCATTTTTATACCTGGTTGAAAATGACACGAGATTTAGATCCACTTTAAGGAAAGCCCAAAAGAACGTGTTTTCAAACACCTGTTTAATGGATTGCACTGCAGACTAAAACACGAGGAGTCGAGGCTAAAAAAGTTAGTGTGACAAGCTTGGTGGTCGGCGCTGCAATCTTGTAATCCTGAGGTTGCGGGTTCAAGCCCAGGTTGTATCAGGTTGGGTATCCATGCAAACAATAACCATATCATTCATGTGAAGTCGCTCGCTGTGTTGACCCCTGAAGAAGGGAGCAACCGAAAGAAAGTTTTAGATTGATGTGTAAAGTGACAAACTATCTTTAAATCTTTATTATTATTATATATTGTGTTACTCGTATACATGAGAATATGTTTTCATACTTGTGCTCCGTGAACAGCTTGTGATGGAAAGCGGAGCTCTGTGCAGCAGAAGCTCTCTCATAAGCAGTTCAAACCCTATTGTTGGACTCTTCATCCATTTGGTTCTCATTTTTATTGTGTTATCACTGTATGTTCCCGTACAGACAAAATTAGCTCTCTGCATTTAACCCATCGCATGGGATACACACAGGTGGGGCAGCTATGTAGGCTGCCCGGGGAGCAATTCGGGATTGGGAGTCCTGCTCAGAGACACCACGAGATGTGCAATGACCGGGATCTTGGTCCTGAGTCGGCTGCCTTGCTCCTACACCATCTCTGCCCCTTTTCCTCCTGTCTGCACGCTCCAGTTCAAATTGAAAGGACTGAATGTCGGACATTGTCCAAAATTAATGTTCAAGTTGGACGTAGCTCACCAGAGCAACATGCCACTTTCCCAGAATGCATTGCAGCATAACAAAGCAATGTCCATGTTACATACGTGAAGAAAAAAAAAAAAAAATCTAAACAGCCAAAAGTACTTTTTGCGGTCTTGTTTTGAAACCTTATTCCTGGGAGCTCTACTGTATGAATGATTATTATTGGGTACAACTTCCAGTAAGACACGAGAAGAAGCCGTAAGCATTGATGGGGCAGAGCACGGACCAAGGTTTAGTTGAAACTAATTTGCGTTCAGTTAAGCAGCTAAAACACTGTTTTTGTTTTGTTCATATTTAACATCTGTAAAGTTGATTTAAAATATCCTTGCTTGGACCTGTTAGTAGCTGCATGAACAGTCAGACCAAACTAAACCAGTGGCTACAACAACAGTGTTTTAAACACTGGCTCAAAACAAAAAGAGTGATGCTGTGAAAAGAGGTATAGTTTCCATCTACCTACAGTTTGGGTTCCCTTTAAAAGTCACCAGTCTGTGATTAAATAACTCCTGGTGGTCAGATATTATTTAAACACCAGGTAGCGCTTAATTAAACTCGTGTTGCAAACTTACTAAACTCTTAAGTGGATTAATTAAGAGTTTTAAAGCGGGAAAATAATGTCCCTTTTGGGTATCCATACATTTCCCGTTTTGTGCGCGCTCCCGAAGCAGAAGGCACATTATTGTCGGGGACACTTACCTTGGCGCAACACCGCAATGAAGTCATAAGCAGTCGGTGTGTTTATGTACAGCTGAGGCGGGAGAAGCGGAGGAACCGAACCGGGCCGCTGCAAGTTTTCAATGGACGCGTGAGCGCTGCCCGAGGCTCTGCTCGGATGGGATGCACGGTGAGCTTCATCTGCTGTGAAGAAGACTTTCTGCAAATGCCTGTTTACCAACATGAGGATGAGAAGAAGAAAGGCAGCCTGAGAGAGGTAAGACCAGGAGAGGCTCGTGCAGACTCTTCATCCAGACTTCATTTAGTTTAAAGCAGCAGTCTGAAGTGGTCCACATCAGCAGTTCTCCAGACTTTTTGTTTTATTTATTTATTTGTGCGTTTTTTCTTTGCACCTGTTGTTTTTCGAGGGAATGTCTTGTTTAAAACTCTAATTCAGCCCCAGAGGCGTTGTTAGGATGTTGAAACATTGGGGGGCTTCGCCCAGCCCAGAAGTATTTAATTTTTCACATGTCATTGAACGAGTTGTTTACTAATAGAATGTGTTGTTTTGGTGTAGATTCTCAGTCGACCTAAACATGGCAAATCTGAGAATTTCTTTTTAAAGCCGCTGAACTTTTTTCTTGCTTTTTGAAGACACTTTTCGTAAATAATGAGCATCAAAGATTTTGAGGAACAATGCTCTTCCTGTACTCGCTCGGGGTTTCATCCTCGATCTAGCCCGATGACACCAGTTTGACAGGTGGACCCTCACAGTCCTACTCCCCACCTGGCCCTGGAGCAGATGGTCATGTTGGCACAGACTGGGTGCTTACACCTCACTAATTATGGTCTCCATTTTTATTTTCTTGTGTATAAATAGAATAAATGGTAAATGGGCCGTACTTGTATAGCACCTTTTCTAACATTAAGATACTCAAAGCATTTTACACTACAATCTGCCTCATTTACCCATTCATACAACACTCTACTGTATCTCTACAAAGATTAATCAGTGCTTTATTATATTCACACACTGACGGGACACTCATCGGAGGCAATGAGGGGTTCAGTGTCTTGCCCAGGTACACGTCAGCATGTGACTGCTGGTGGAATCGAACCGCCAACTCTTGCATTTGAGGACGACTGCTCTAATCACTCAGCTACAGCTGCCGCATATATGGGTGAATTGGAAGTTGTTTTTTTTTGCTAATTAAAAGGTTTTCTGGAAAAAGGAGATGTGCTCTCAAGTAGGCCTGTCATGATAACAAATTTTGCTGGGCGATTAATTGTCTCAGAAATTATTGCGATAAATAATATTGCTTGAAATTTGACAATTGGTAATGGTCAAATTTAAGAATTGTTGGTTAATTTTTGTGTATTACCTTTTTTGGCCACTGGATGGCAGTATAAAATGGTTTGAACCAAAGGATGGATAGTGAGGGAGCAAGCAGCGTGTCTCTTAGAAAAGTGGGAGGGAGGCCCCTTGACGTGACGTGGGCTGTCTCCATTTCTGTTTTTCGGTTCTCAAAATGGCAGACGCTCTGTGTGGGTTGAGCTCTTTAGCGTAGCTAGCCATAGCATAGCATTGAGCAATCATCAGGATCTTTAGCATAGCATTTGTCGCAAAAAGATTTTAATAATAAAACAATAAACAAGTTCTCAGGGGTTTTTTTTTGCAGAGAAAAGCAACTTTTTAGACCAAGGCACAGGTTTCAACCGTGAATTTTGGAGCTTTGACAAGACTGAGGTTTTTTCCCCAGAGGTTGGCCTGTTAGCTTAGCTCGTAGCTTAGCTTCTCAGCTTAGCTACTTTTAATGATCCAAAAACATGATTTTGGACAGTTTTTTTAAATGGATTTTAAAGTGAGAAGAGAAAGGTAGGGGTCAGTGAAGAGCACCGGAGTTGAGACTTTTGTCATCCAGTGTCTTCAGTAGAAAGAGAGACACACGAATAAACGATAAAGCCAATAAATGCAAATTATGTCTAATTTTCATTTATCATGCGATTAATTGATTTATTGTTTATCACGACAGGCCTATACTCTCAAGTAAAAAAAAAAAAACAAGAAAAATGGAAAAAATCAGGTGTTTCGTCGAGTAATTTCATCCTGAAAGGTAGTTCCGGACATTAGCTTCTTGAAGTTTGTGTCAGTTCGAGTTGAACCTGCAGCTATGCGTGTTCTGGTTCTGACCGGATAATGGTAGGCCGGGCCATGCAGCTTGTTGTACTGTGTCCAGAAGAAGAGTGAAGCAGAAACGGGCAAACATGGCAGTGTGAGGAGCATCGTAGGCCGGGTAGTGGCTCGGTTCTTCTGGTGCTTCAGGTCCGAATAGGTCTAGATGTGTTTTTATATGTCATTAAATAAATGCTTGACTTGATATTTAAGTTTTCTGTCTGATTTTGGGTAATTCAGAAACATCTGGGGCTACAGCCCCAAATGCTCATTTAGGTCAGGGTTACTAAAAGACTGGTTCAATTATTATTATTTTTCTTTGGGCTGCTGTTGATACAACATATTATTTTTACAGTATATTATTAGTGTTTAGCGTATCTTTTAACGTACCGTTTGGCGTTCGTTTAGCATATGTGTATATCTTAGATCCTTACATACTGTTTCTTTTTACACTTTATATTTTTGCTGTTTTGGGTGTAAGTGGGACCCTGAGTACATAATTTTGTTCCACCTCATGTACCACATGTGGTGAGAATGATAATAAACTTGAACTTGAAGTGTAAAAGTGATGAAGACTGGCAAGGTGGGTACAAACAGGCTGAGGTGGGTCACCTTAGACTAAAGTTTTGTCAGCTGTGCACCCAAAAATAAAATTATATATATATATTTTTTAAGAACAGGCCACACAAAAAGCATCCACGTGGCTCGCTGCTTGCTTGGGCACAATCGTTCGAATTGACCAACCCGTCTTTCTTGTGGTCCAGACCAACAAAGACCCTAATGACCCTCAGGAGAGCGGTGAGGGATTTGGGTTTAGATGAGAGGTCGGTTCATAAATGAAGAAGCTCACTACAGTCTAAATGTTTGGAACATCAAACTTTTCTTTTTGAACTGAGAAATATTCAAGCATTGGAAGCAATTTGTCATAAATAAAAAAATTTTTTTGCAAAAGTCTGTTTACCGTAAAATAAATCTCATAGATGTGTTATGATGCATTTTTTTTTAACCAATGTGTGGTAGTAGCTGACAGTCATTCACAACACATACTCTAAGCGCTAATAGACTGTGCAAAAGTTAAACAGTTGTAGATGGAAGATTCATTCAAATCTGTCCGGTGGTTGATTAAATATTTTGCTGACACAGATTCATTCCAAAGGTCAATGCCAAAGTTTTGCACAAAGATTGTGTGCACTGCGTAGTGCTCGGAGCGTGTGTTGGGGATGACTCTCCGCTACTGTCACATAACATTTGAGCTCAGTAGCTGCTTATGTGTCTACTTTCCTAACTGTTGTTGACTGAAAAGGGTAATGGTTTGTAGATGTTCATGAAATGACCACTTTCTGAGAGTTTCAGTAAAATCCATCCTCTTAAGATTTTTTTTGAGGTACAAAAATAAACCCGTGTATGGATTTGAAAACGTCCTCAGCCTGATGAGTTTGGTTTAATCTTGGGAATCGGCTGTGCATATTTCAGTCTGTGTGGATAAACAAGCCTCCTATCAGCACCTCACTTCCTGTGTGTGCCGTCAGGACTCGTGATGTGGCTTCAGTCTGATCTCGGCTTCCACAACACCGCAGTGTTGCTGTAACGCACTTTGTTTAGTGGCAGGTGCTGAAAGATTAAATGTCGCTTTTCACTTTGACTTACAGCAGCGTTCTTCAAACGCATACTAATAAATGTTTTACTTTTAGTTACATTAGAGTTTCTGATTTTGTTTTGTTTAAAGGAACGCTGACTGAAATCTGAGCTGTCTTTGTGCGTGTGTGTGTGTGTGTGTGTGTGTGTGTGTGTGTGTGTGTGTGTGTGTGTGTGTGTGTTTTCAGCCTGTTTGCTGTGCACTTTTCAAAAAGTTTATTTGTAGTATGTCAGTACGTGTTTGTATTAGGACTTAATTTGTAAACTGATCGATGTTGCAACGCAAATAGTGGGCGGACCGGTGCGAGGAGGGGGTCCCCCCCCCCATTTTTTAATTTTTTTAAGTGGATGCAATTTGGTGTATTTTAATATGAATCTCAAGATGCCTGCGTATGGGCTCCTGCCCACGTACGACTGTGTGGTTAGCTCGGCACTCACCCCCCATCACTTTTTTTTTTTTTTTTTAGGGGCAGAGATTTTTTTAAGGGTAGACGCGGACATGCTACTAGAAGAGGCAGATCATATGTTGTGTATGTTGAAAAAAGAAACTGTCCAGATGACCAGACTGAACATTGTAAGATTTTTTTTTTTAACCTGGTTTAATGAGCATGAACTTTGATATTTATCTTATTTTATGCTTCAGTCGAGGGTTGAATGTGAAGAGAGAGCAGTTTGTGTCTCGTGCATTAGAACAATTTCTTACTGCAGCCAGCGAGGCCCTATAGGTGGAGAACTTTGAAGTCCAGGAATATTCAGACAGAAATAGGATCCTCATGTAAACACATGTAACTTTGAACAGGGTGAGGGCTTTCTTGTAAGAATTCTAGGTGGTTGCTGTCTAACTGCTTTGGTTGCTTAACTTGCTTACCTCTGAATGGAACGCCTTGTAGCTGCTACCTTCCTACCAGCCATCAATTATGGTGACATTATTTACATGAATGCCCCTGCCAGCTCCTTGCAGATGTTGGATGCTGTCTACCGTGGTGCGCTAAGATTCATAACTAGCATACCCATCACTGCACTCTGTACTCACTGGTCAGTTGGTCATCATTATAGGATGTATAGGCTCTCACACTGGTTCACTTTCATCTATTAATCACTCCTTGGCTTGCTGCCTTCTTATATCTCCTCCCACATTTCATGTCGTCAGTGCAGTTACAGCGTGCGCTCTCAGCAATTCATTACCTGCAGCGTTCCCTCAGTGCGAACTGAACTCGACAAAAAGGCCTTTTCTTACTCTGCTCCTGTAACATGGAACACCTGGCAAAAAGATCTGAAGCTAATGATTTTTGATTTAAGTGATTTTAGACATTTGATAATGTCAATAGAAATATCAAAGCAAACATGCTCTTGTTTTAAGTTTTGTACCTTGTTTTATATGGCATCTTGATTTGACTGTGCTTATAACTTCTTTTATTTGATTTGATTTTTGTTGTTGTTGAATTATAGTTGTTTGTACTTTATAGGCT